TCTCACTTCTTCCTCTGCCTTTCTTGGCATCGCACTCCTTGTTGGTCTATGCAGCAGTCTCTACGGCAATCAGCTCAGTGGCTCAATTCCTGCTGAGATTGGTAACATGACAAAACTAGTACTCCTGTAAGCCCATCACTGCTCTTCTCTCCCCCTCATCTGAGAATCTGTTCGTTTTTCTGATCTTCCTGCTTGTTCCCTATTCATATTCTACTGGTGAGCGGAAAACTGAACCGGGCCTGTTTTGTTTCGCATTTTGGTTCGAGGCAAACCAGGTCAGGCAGGGTTCGACTTGAACCGGTTGATGTTCCAGCTGTGAATGTCGTGCATTGCATCAAACTGGTTCAGCACGTCGAATGGGCAGCACCTCGACTGGTACCTGGTCGGCTCTGGACCACCCGTGCGAATTAACTGGAGTTCCAGGGCAGATTGGAGTCCACGTTTGCACCAGATCATTCTCTTGTATGGTCGAATGGATTTCATCCCGACCATCAGATCCAAACTGTTTACGACATGTGTGGTACTCTGACCAACCACATGCAAGTGCTAGAGATTGATGTGGTTTTCTACTTTGAGTTTAGGTTCTCCTTGATGTGGTCACAAATGTGCCGTTTTTAGCTTCTGCGTAGGCATCAGGAACAGCTGAACCAGAACCTGTTTCGTTCTGGCCCACTCGACCCACAACCAGTTTAAATTATACCAGAACCGGTTCGGATGACCTTACTAGTCGAACCAGTACAGTTTGACCTATAAGGAACGAACCATGAAGTGACCCAGGGACGACCCAGGTACCGGTTCAATCGAAACATGTTCAGCTTCGAATGAGGAAAACCAGAGCCTGATTTTGTTCAATTCTTGCGCATGCATCCGAAAAGGGAGTCGGTGACTAGAGAAGAAGTTGAGCTGGGTAAAACATCAAGATACTTTGTTAGACCTGAGCAATTATTGAAATTGGAACCCAAAGTGGTTCGTTCCAAACTGGGCCAAGCTGTTGTAAAAACTAAACTGAACCACTTTGCTTCAGTTTGAACCGTTGTACGCATGTGAGAGCCGAACATAGCAAGATACAAGTCGAACCCGAACTGAACCTATGTTCGGTTCTGTGTTCATCTCTACAAGGTTATAGAGCAGGCTGGGGTGAAACCCCAACTGAAACTAGGGCGTGTTCAGCCTATGACTAGGGCGTGTTCAGCCTATGACTAGGGCGTGTTCAGCCTATGATAATAACAAGAAACAGAGCCTAATCTGAAGCTGAGATAAACCTAGATTTAACAATGGCCGGAAATTTTGTATATGGGAATCACAAATATTGAGCAAACGCTAGCCTGCATCAACCATCGCTTCTGTATATGGGCAGTCCTGCTAGTCCTCCTCACTACACGTCTGTAGGCATGAGCAGGCAGACAAACTTGGTTCGGCCCATGTCGGGCCGAACCGGCAAAGTTAGATTGGTGGCTTGCCGAAAGTCGAACCGGGCCGGTTTGTCCCAAGCCGTGGCCCAACGTGAACTTAGCAAGTGAATGAAATATTACATGCAGTAAAGACATCACATAATTATTTCTTTTGGTGACAAATTCTTTTTCGTGTTTCCGGAAGTATCGCCCGTTCCTGCCTCGTCGGAGCGAGCAAGCTTTGCTTGCAATGGAGTCTAAAACTTTTGACTCAAATGGTAGAATGGTTGCTTTTAGTAAGCAAATCGAGCACATGAATCTAGCACTTCAACTGAGCGCCATTTTTCTGTATCACCATCACGCCTCCAGCCACAGTCGGTGCCTACTCAGCCTGTCAATCGTAAGGACCGCTCACCTTACTCTACTTGGTACTCCATCCGCCCTCATTCTCCCGTTCTATCCTTCCCATTTCTCCTCTAACATCCTTCCGTCTCACCACCATGGCCACCAGGTCACTCGCCTTCAACCAGCTGTATGGGAGCATACCGAGCACTCTCACCCAGCTCACGCAGCTCACGTACTTGTACGACGCACTCATTACACCACTCTGTTTCGCTTGCCCTCACACTCCCTCCATTTCTGTTGCATTATTGATCTTCCCTATTTGGTGATGGACATGCATGATTTTTGCTTACTTCTTCCTCTGCATCTCTTGCAATCGCACTCCTTGTTCCTCCATGCAGGAGTTTCCATCACAATGAGCTTACTGGCTCCATTTCTGCTGAGATTGGAAACATGACAAAACTAGTGTCTCTGTAAGCTAGTCCCTGCCCTTCTCTCCCCTTCATGTGCCAACCTCTTCCTATTTTGTTTCCAAATTAGGTTTGAATTGATTCATTAGTTCCAGCTGTGCTTTCTTTTTTTATCTTCCTGCTTGTTTCGCCCTATCATCCAATAGAGTTGAGGCTCATGTTGAGCAGAAAACCGAATTGGGGCCCTTTTCTCACCTTATGTTTCGTGGGAAACTGGGTCAGGGTTTGACTTGAACGAGTGGATGTTCCAGCTGTGAATGTCATACATTACATCGAACTGTTTAAGCACGTCGAATGACGACTGTGTCCCATGCGGTTCTGGTCCACAAGTGCATTTTTTTAAGAGCAGAATTGCAGTTCAAGTTCGTGTCAAATCGTTCTCTTGTATGGTCGAACTGAACCAGCACCACACACAGTTTGGTTTGAATTGATTTCACCTCAGCCATCAGAGCCAATTTGTTTGACACATGTGTGTCACTCCGGCGAAACAAAATGCAAGTGCTGGAGATTTATGAAAAAGCATACGCTGAATATGCTTTTCCTTTCTGTTATCACAATGTGCAGTTTGTATCTTCTTAGTAGGCATCAGCAACAACCGAACGAGAGCCTGTTCAGTTTGTAGAAAGTGGATCAGTGAACTTCAGTGCACAATGAGAAGAAGAATATATCCTTAGTAGGAAGTTGGTACAAGCCTTACAGGCTAGAGCAATTTCCTTGTCCAAGGATGTGAAGTAGGAAGCCACATATATATGGCTGAACTCTTGAGGCTGGCTGCAGCACCTCAAAGCTGAGGGCTAGGCTAGCCAACCTTCTCAAGCTAGCAAGTGAGGCCTCATGTTGCACATGTGGGACAGGCTTGAACAACAGCCCACATGGCAGCATATGGCACACCATAGGGGCCAGCAAGGTGAGCATGGGATGAGTGGACACGTGGCAATGCCAGCTGTGACCGCACTTCACTGTGGGTGAGTGTGGTGGAGTATGGACTTTTCATGGTGAGCATAATACAAGGGAAATGTGCAGCTGTTGAGAGTTGAACCCACGACCTACAAGTTCAAAAGTGAAAAACTACCCACTGGGACATACGTGCTTCACAAAATAGTTTTTGACCATTAGCCTCTGAGAGTCGAACTAAGAAACTCCTATTCCATCCTATTTGATTCAGGTCATCAAGACCAGAGCTGGTTCTGTTTCGGTTCATTTCATGCCTCTTAATTGGGAAATTAGGTGACAATAGAAAGGGTTGAGCTGTGTAAAACATCAAGATACACGGTTACCCAAATGAGTTTGTTCCGAGCTGGTTCGAACTGTTGTTGAAACTGAATTGAATCAGTTCGGTTCGGATCGAACGGTTGTTGGCATGTCAGCAGTTCAAGGTTTGCTTTTAAAATTCGAACACCGCAACGTACGAGCGAGTCGAACCCGAACTGAACATTTGGCCCTTCACTCCTAATCCTCTCCTCTCCTCTGTAGGAGGGATGAGCACAAGGACGAACTTGCTTCTGCCCAGGTTAGGCCAAAATGGCATAGTTAGGATTTTGGTGGCTTTGTGAAAGTCGAGCCGGGCCGGTTAGTCCCGAGCCGCAGCCCAACGCGAACCTATGACATAATTCAAGCAGATAAATTTTGTAAGCAAATCTAGCATTTGAATTGTGCACCATTCTTCTGTATCACCATCATGCCTCTAGCCACGGTTCGTGTCTGCTCAATGTTAACGACCACGCCCTTACCCAACATGGTACTCGATCCATCCTCATTCTCCTGTTGTATCCTTCCCATCGCTCCAATAACATCCTTCCGTCTCACCACCATGGCCACCAGGTCTCTCGCCTTCAACCAGCTGTATGGGAGCGTACCAAGCACTCTCACCCAGCTCACGCAGCTCACATTCTTGTACGACCCATGCATCACCACTCTTTTTCGATTGCTCTGGTGGTCTCCCTCTTGTACATTTGTTTCTAATCACAGATGAACTCTCATTGCACTTCCAAATCCATGATTTCCGCAAGCCACAAGAGCACCTACCGTACCATGCATGCTCATGTTGCATGCATTCTGATTGCACTTTCTCGCCTCGCTGCCTTGCCATGCATGCCCTCTAATCACAATGGTCAATCAGATTTATTCTGGAGAAATAACAAGAAAGTTCAAAGGTGAGGTTAAATAACATTGAACACTACCCAGTAGGGATGAGCACCGGACGAACATCGAACATGTTCGTCCGAACTGTGACGAACACACTCAGTGGGCGAACCGCACATGTTCGGTTCGCCCGAACACTTTTTACTGAAATCTTATGATCGAGGTTCGCCCACTGTGGGCGAACCTACTAAAGGGGGCCGAACATCAGAGATATTTGCCCCCGAACATGTTTGGGCAAACCAAACGCACGTTCGCCATTTTGCTCATCCCTACTACCCAGTACCACTTAAGAGTCAAACCGGTCAATACAACACCACATGAATGCCCGTGGTTGCCGTGCCAGTGCCCTGTATACCCATCTTCACATCCCTCGGATTGCTTCCTCGTTTCTCTCTTCCTCATTTCTCGGATTTCTCTCTTCCCTGGTCTCAATCAACCAACCATCCTCGTATGCCTCTTCTTCCTCTCCCTCTTCTGTATCCTTCTCTTCCACCTCACCTTCCCCTTCTGTTCCCCTTCTTGTTGACTCCTCATTCTTCTCCTCCGCCAGCCCGTGTCTATCCCCTTCTGCTCCCCCATCCGTATACCCATTCTTCTCAACAACCCCTCACATCTTCGCTCCCTGCACTCCACTTTTTTTTATCCAGATGCGTTGATGCGATCCCCACCCATCCTTCTCCCGCCACTTGCACTTGCACCTCCTTCCTGCAGAGACCTCTCTCACAACTACCTCACAGGCCGCGCACTGAAGCCCCTTGCTGCGCGAACCCTGGATCTCTCCAGCAACTTCCTCTCGGGCCCTCTGCCCGACGGGGCATGCCAGCCTCGCTCTTTTGATGCCAACTGCTTCACGTTGCCGCTTGGCTGTGCCTTGGTGCCCCAGCGACAGGAGGCAGCGTGCAATGCATTCTGTGGCGTCTCCTCTGCTGCTGGTGCTACTGCTGCTGCTGCGTGTGGAGGACATGGGGTGTGCTATCCAGAGGGGGCTAGCTTGGCACCCACATGTCTGTGTGATGCGGGATTTGTGCAATGTGGAGGGATCACCTGTGTTGCTCAAGGTAGGGGACACCACTTGAAGTCTATGCAACATGACCACATACAGATTTACAGAATGGTGGGACGTCCAACTCACATGAATTTGTTGCTCGAAATTATTAGGTATCACCCAATCATACCTCCATATTGTTAGACATAGACTTCCACCTCATGTTTTGTACTTGCCCTTTTAATGTCCTACTTTAGTGTAGTCGTTTTTGTGGTTGGGTGTAGGGATGAGCAAGGGGCGAACACCAACATGTTCGTGTTCGCCCCTACACGAACAAATCCGTTTGCCGAACCGAATACTGTTCGGCTCGGCGAACACTTTTAGCAAAAACAAGTGTTCGCCGTCCGCCTGTGAAGGCGTGTTCGGGCCAACCTCGAACACGTTCGTGTTCGTCGCGGGGCAAATTGCAGCAGCGGCCCGAACTCGTGTTCGGGCGAACCTCGAACACTGTTTGGCAAACACGCAAAAAAAACAAACCTGTTCGGTTCGCGGTGTTCGTTTTTTTGCTCAACCCTAGTTGGGTGTTACACCAATATCCCAACCCAACCCAAATGTGATGTGATCAACTGAAACCTTCAACCCCACCACCAGTGAAAGGTTTCAGCCGATCTCATTGGGAATTGGGCCCCGATCCCTGCCCATCTGTTCCTTCCCACCCATGTTCTAATGTACTTCGGATCCTTGAGCTCCTTTATTGAATCAATTAATTTTCGCTCAAGTTCTTACACATATCCCACTCCTATCCATCTGTCTGTCATGTTTGTGCAGGCCATAACAAAAACTACTCAAGCAGTCAGGCGGTTCTCCCACCAGCATCTATACTCACCTGGGGGGGGCAGCGCGAGACGAAGGGGAGCTTCACCGCAGAGCCGGTGAAGTTGTTTGTGTACGAGGCAAACCAGGGACTGTCGCGGTGTGGGCTGCAGCTCGCCTTTCACGCCAACTTCACCTTCTCCCTCTCGCCTCGATCTGGCCGCGTGGGCTTCAACGGCTTAGCGTTTGTCATCTCGGCAACGGACCAGGTGGGGAGTGGCGCTGGAGTGGGGTATGGTGGAATGGACACACGGAGCATGGCGGTGGAGTTTGACACTCTGCGGAACAAGGAGCATGGCGACATGAGCAGCCAGCATGTGGGGCTGAACGTTCGAGGCGAGGACAAATCGCTAGTCGCTGTGAGGTCACCCTTCCGTCTGAGCAACAGGAAGGCGTTCACGGCGTGGGTGGACTATGAGCCAGGAGACCCCGGTACCATCCAGGTCTTCCTGGCTGACTCGCAGGAGAAGCCGCAGCAGGCGGTGCTGGAGTGGAGGCTGGCGCTGTGTGAGGTGCTGCAGGGTGCAGTTGATCAGCCCGCCTTCTTCTTTGGCTTCGTGGCGTCCACCACTGTGAAGCCGTTTCAGCGGCACGTCATTCTTGAATCGACAGTGGATACAGGTAAGCAGTGTGTGCTTTCAGGTGGATGGGCTTGGCATGGTGGTTAACAACAAGGGAGGTCCAGTCCGGAGGATGTAAAGGAGGTGGCAACGAGACTGAGGGAGTGGATGGTGACGTAAGGAATTGTGACGATGGGGGTAGTGCTGGTGAAGATGAGGTTAGCTCTGGCGCTGATGAGGTTACCGATGGAGGTCAATTTGAAAGTGACTGCAATTTGATATGAGTCACACATTTTCTGAATCTTACATGGTGTCTTCTATCTTCGCTCTGATTGCTTTGTCTTTGTGCAGGCCTTCCTGCTTCTCCCCGAACAGTCACACGTAATCCAGGTGAGACATCGTCTCCCATGCTTCTGTTGCGACTCTCGCAACTACCTCTGTTAGAAGGACAAAAGAGGCAAGCATTGTGACAGTGTGATTGTTATTATCATCTTATAATGTGTACAGACATTTCCCCTCGCGTTTGTTTATCTTTCCACATGTATCCTTCACTCTCCGTCTTACCATGTTTTTCTTTTCTTCTGGAGGTTCTTTGTACTAAATACTCATGCATTCAGTACATTGGGTGTAAGAAAGAAGAATAACCTAGACAGTGTGGTTGGTGGTGCACAGCACGGTGCGCATAAATCTCAAGCGAACTGGAAAATGGAGAAGCTGAGCAACTTCGTTTACGGAATTAGGGAAGCGATTTCTTGATGAGAGACATGCATGAACTATGCTTGAACGGAGTGCTTGTTTGGTGGATGTGAAACAAGTTTGTAATGAGCACTTGAGGTGCAGATGTTATTGGATATGGGTTGCAGTCCAGCAACGTTAGGGCAATGCACCACAGACCATTGTACCCATTATCCCCCTTCAAGTTCTGCCTTGTAACAACTTGTCACTTTCACATCACATTCCTTTCTCTATAATTCAACTTCTGAGCATGTCACAGCCTATGGCCTGCAGCTATCAACGAACACGTACATGCCAGCACGGGCCAGCCCCTTCCCGCGCTACGTGAGTGCGGACTACCGTGTTGCGCCCAGCAAGCAGGACTCGTGGTTCATCAGCGACTTCCACTCCTGGGACTCCGTGCCCTTCCTCGGCTGGCCTGTCAAGGACCAAAAAGACTGCAGTGAGTGAAACCGATGGGAACCTGTGGAAGCATGTTGGAGCCAATAGGTGGGCTGGTGTGTCTTGGTTAGTTTTTACGATCTGCGTCTTTCCGTTTGTTGTTCTGCTGCTGGTCGCTTTCATGTTTCAACCATCGCACAATAATCAGGGCAATATGTGTCTCCATTTTTCAGCCATCATCGCATGAGCATCAATTATTCACGGAACAATTTTCATCATACGCAGGTGCTTGTTGGGCGTTTGCGCTGGTGGCGAGTGTGGAAGCGGCATACGGCATTGCCTTGAATGCAGAGGCGCCGCAGCTGTCAGTGGAGTCACTCTTTGCAGCCATGGGGCTCACCTCCGAAGCTGACAAGTGCAGCACGGGGGGCTCCCCCACCGAGGCGTTGGAAAGGCTTCTCATGCTGCCTCGCGGTGGAGTCACAGAGGTTGGAGCGCCTGTGAGTAGTGTGGTGAAGTGTGAGCCTAGAATGTATTGTTTTTTATGAGAGATTTTGGGAACCTTGAAGTGGTGTGTGTGATGTTGAGAGAGTTGCGACTATACTACAACTTGTGATATGAGGACTCTCTCCGAGTCGTTCAAGCCACTGGCGTTGGTTGCAACTTATAACCGTGTTGAACTAATTATCTGTTAGCATACGAGTACCCCTGAAGTCTCATACACAGTAATAGATTGGTTGGGTCAGGGCCAAGAGACCAAGTTATGACAGCAAGAGGCAAACAGCTTCTACCACGCATGGTCAACGGTCAGCTCAGGTCGGCTTGCCACGAGCTGAAAGAGGGCCGAGCCAGACTTGAAGGTTCCATAAAACATTCAGAAGGCAACGTATAGAGAACAGAATGTATATTCTAATCATTTTGCAATGCACCCAACATTCTAGTGCTTCCTATGATTGGCCGGAACCATTTTCAGCAAGCAAACTTTCGTTTTCCATCGTGACCTCCTTTTATGTTTCTCTCTTCCTTCCTATCTGTTATTAAATCCCCTTTGAAATGTTCATCTTCAGAAAAAGGAGTACCCTATTCATGGCTTTGAGCGCACAAGGTTCAAGGGGTTTGTGGGGCTCATGCTGGCAGTGCGTCGACAGCCAGTGGTGGTTCACATTGAGGCTTCTGCTCTGAGTTTTGCACAATTTGACGGGGTGGGTGTTTCTTGCGTTGACCCTTCATGCTGTGCACAAGTTGTCAAGAGTTATACAGAAGTTGTTCGCATTACATGTATGCCAAAAACCAACCCAGGGTTGTACACAAGGTGTTACCAGCATTAAGCTGTATGCCTGAAGTGGTTCTTTGTTGTTTCTTGTTCCATCCTTCCATATCTGTTGTGGTGCCCCCTTTCTCTTCAGACCTTCAAGTACCAGAATCCTGGCTGCTATACCGGCAGACTGGACCACGTTGTACTCGTTATCGGATACTTCATCTTGAGAAATGACGGCAGCCAAAATCGCATAGCGCCTCCATTTTGGATCATCCGCAACTCGTGGGGAGTGGAGTGGGGTGACCGGGGCCACATGCGCATGGACATTCAGGGAGGGGATGGCGTGTGTGGCATCAACGTGCTGCCTGGCATCTACCCCATTGTCAAGAGTGAGGCATTTATCTCGAGGTGTTGAGTGGGGCATCTATCTCGAGGTGTTGAGTGAGGCATCTACCTCGAGGTGTTGAGTGAGGCATCTACCTCGAGGTGTTGAGTGAGGCATCTACCTCATTGTCTTAAATGGGGCACCTTCCCCCATCGCTTTCTCCATATCTCAGTCCCCCCCTTCCAGTCCGTCACAGGGTGTTTGGGGCAGGGTGAAATTCACAGAAGAATTATGTAATTAGTCTTTAGTCTAGGGGATGGCCTCAAATTTGGTATATGGAACACAGTGGAATGGAGGCATTGTCAACAGAGAGAAGAGAGTGTGAGCCAGTCACCAATCGCCAACTCACGGTTTCCAGATTTCACACCTGCCATTTGCCTAAGGCTTGCCTTTTCCTGCCCACGGTCGTTTTCAATGAGTTTGCACTCGCGCCTGTTTCTACACCTCCTGCTCCTATCTGTACCCCCCTCCAGTCCCCAAGGACCCTTGCGGCCAGAGGAGCTTCAAGGGTGATGGTGACCTGCAGCCCAGCATGAATCCGTGTGGGCGGTTCACATGCCGGGCTAACTTACGGAGCAACAGCAATTCGTGTGACTGTTCCATTCCAAACGAATCTAAGCAGCCATTTGTTCAAGTTGCAAACGGATACGGCTCTCAAACGTGTGCTTACTGTAAGTTGTTTGGTTCAAGTTCTCAAATGATAACTTTTATTCATGGCCCTTGTCAGAACAATGGCCGTTTTCGGAACAATGGGCTTGTTTGATCTTCAGATATTCTTTCAACCAAGTCCCTGTCTATATCTTTTCGTAGTTTTATCTCTCCTTCCCCCTACTCTTCCCATTGCTCCCAACACATGTATCTCTCTCACCACTGTGCTCCACAATTGTGTTTATGTCGCTTGGCAGTGGATGTGTGTGGGTCTGACTTGAAGAACCCATGCTACGTCGGCGCGTGCATCAACGACGGCAAGGGCTCCTACTCCTGCATCTGCCCCCCCAACTACGTTGAAAGCACAACCATTGACAGCTTCCCCACCTGCGACCCAGGTGCTGCTGGCTTGGCATCGTTTGTAAGAGGGTCGCTACTTCTTTCAGTTCTTCTTGAATCATACATATGTTGGGGTCATTACAACCCCTGCAAACTTCTTCTACTGTCAATTCATGTGATGCACACACAACTAGTAGTTTTGTTTTCTTGATTACTTTCTTATGCGTGTGTTCTCCTGCTTTCACATTCGTCGCTTTCCAGCCAACGTCACAGCCAGCACCCTGGCCGTGAGTGGGAGCAACTGGTGGTGCCCCGATGTCCTCTCTATTGTGGGCCTCTCACTTCCCCAATTCACACAGCGGAATCAGGTAACCAATGGAGATGGGGGGCCTGGAAGAGTGGATTGGCAGGCACGGCTAGTGGTTGATTCCTCACAATGGAATTCTAAGTCCCATAGCTGCTTATCTACAGTTTATGAAATCGTCAATGTGTGAAATGAAAACAATCACAAAAGCAATATTGCGACACCTTCACTTCATAGCTTTGTCTTCCTGTGTCCATTTACTTCCTGATTCGTCATGCAAACGATGTGCCATCCCCTGAAGTGGTGACTAAAGAATCGTGTGTGCTCCTCATTGCAGGGCATTGACTGCAATCAGTCTTTGCCTCGTAACATGGTGCTTCAGCTAGGAAATCCTCTCCTCGTTCCCTGCACTGCGTTCTTCTACACCCTCAGTGTGAGAGTTAGCCCTTCTTATTTTTATTCGTTGAATGGAATCTCATCATATTATTTTTCTATGTTTCTCCACTCTGCTTTGCTTAGCTCCGCAAGACTGTCGCATAGTAAAGCTGCGCTCCATTCACCTCAGGCATCTGTGCCTTCTCTCCCGTTGTTCAACCCTCCAGGGCGACACATGCTGGTCCATCAGTGCACAGCTGTTCCTCACCACCAGCAACCTCACGGCACTCAATCCCGGCCTTGACTGCTCTGAGCCCATCAAGGCGGGCCGCTCTCTGTGCGTCGAGCGCAACGCCACCTTCGCCTTCACTGTGCCTCGGTGCCTACGTTACGGCGTGCTTACAGCACAGGACACGTGTGAACGCCTGCTGCTGGAGGCGGGGAGTGAGGACGACCCAACGGGGGCTGGGAACGTGAACGCTGTGCGCTGGGCTGAGCTGTACCGCAACAATCCCGGCCTCATCTGCTCGAGTGTCATCCCGGTCTCCGCCTCTGCTGTTGGCAGCAACACTGGCGTACAGGTGAGAGGTGGAGGTGAACTGGGTTGGGGGCGCAAGAGATGGGAGGGAAATGGAGGGAAGATTGGTGGATGGACCAAACGTATACTTGATGGATGTTGGGGCAAGGAGTCATTTCTCATATGCCAGCGTGGTGTTTTTTCCAACTATTTGCCCTTGATTGCCCGTTGAGTGTGTGCCTATGTCTTTCTCTCAATACATGTTGTTTTTTTCATTTCTTGTGTTCGTAAATGTCGCCGTTCAGATTTGCCTAAGGGCAGAGTATTGGTCATTCGTCGTTGGCATATGCAAGAAGGGCAGGCAAAAGCCAGTGTCACCATCATTGACATGCTCAGGTGCTTACAGTTTTTATGGTGGAGCTGCCAATGGAGCAATTTCAAAATATTACGTGTACAATGAGAAGAAGTGTGTTGGGAGTGTAGGGTCCAAGTTCATTTGTGTGCCATGATTAGGAGCTCAGGCAGGTATGGAACGGGGACTACGTTTGGATTTCGACTTCTCTGATTAGCAGTGTAGCCTTTTCAGAAACCCTGATTATCAGCCTACGTTGTTGAGGTTACTTTTAATCATGTGCAACCACCGTTAAAATATATATATATATAATATTTTTAAAATACAAAAAAACCTGAGTCAATGGTGTAGTTTTTTTTTTTTTTTGCCATGATTGTACTGTAGGCAGTTGACTATGCGCTGGCAGCAAACCCCAGCATGTTTCCTGATTTTCCCTGTCAAGAGAAACGATGACGCGGGTGGGCTACAAGTAGACACGGAGGTGGGGGGTGTTCTGATGAGAAGTTTGAACTTGCTAGGATCACCTCAGGAAGGTTTGCACGGAGATAATTGCAGCGGAACTAATGACCTTAGAACAAAGTGAATATAGAACGAATGAAGCGGCTATACCCAGGCCCCAAAATGTCAGGGTAAAATACCCTGATTGCCCTGACTGGCGGCCGCTTTTTTTGGGGTTACCCTGACCCAGTCAGGCTCCCGGATTTCTTACCCTGACTCATAAAGAGTTTGATTTTTTTGTACCCTTATGAAATCCGAGCTATAGATTGGTTCCCCTGACTTTCATCGGTGTTTTAGTCCTTTTACACTGATACCGAGACTTTCGTAACGAGGATATGGTGGACGTTGCGCAAAATGGCGCCAGGAAACAGTGCACCCTACTTTTTTCCTAATGCGAGCATTGAACCCACGACCTTGCCTCTCACAACTTCTCTGGCCTAGTGAAACACTTGAACTTGCAATGTTCTTATTCGTTTTAAATATGGACGTGTGAACAAAACTAGAGTACAAATTTTTTTTACCCTATTTCCATCAGGGTACGAAATGTTTTACCCTAGGAGTCGGGGTTGGCCCACCCTGGAACTCTGATTTGACAGGGTGGGCCAAAACCAATTTTGGGCACTGGTTATACCGTAATCCCCCGTATATAAGACCCTATGGGTATTATGATAATCACCTCTAAACAGGCTGGGGGGTATAATTAAATGGTATATTTTTTAGAAGACCCGGGTCTGTTCACATTGACATTTATAAGAATGCACGATGTGTTGGGTGCAAAATATTATTTTTGCACAGCAACCAGCCGTCTGCATGACGTTATGCATTTTGTGTGCATTCGTTTTCGTCGACGAACATGTGCGTTCATGAAAGTGTGTTGCATTAATGCTTTATGTTTCATGAATGTCGAGTTTTTTCATGAAGATTGGTTGTGAGTTTCGAGTGTGTTTGTGTTCGGGGCTCGATAGTTTGACCAGCCCATTGACCACTTCGCGCTGGTCAACTAAAAAATGCGCGAAGTCAGGACCCGCGCGTGGGGTCCTGACACACGTGTGTGTCCTGACAGAACATGCGCGGGTGTCGCCACTGTCTCGATCGTGTACTGTACGCACGATCAATACAGAACGAAGCGACATGCTCGCCTCGTCACATGTAGGACAACGCACGATCGCGTCAGCGATTGTTTTGTCATGCACGACCGGGAAATATCTCGGTCGTGATGAGGGGCACGTGGGGCACTCGAGATTGCGGTTGACTAACGGGATTTCGCGCTGACTTGGCTTGCACGAAAATTCGCCAGAAAGTCTTGCTGCTTTGCCCCATTATTTCGACAGAGGTACAAAACGGTAAAGTCCGTTTGTAACTGAAGAAAACGGTAAACCCACACGAGTGTCCATGATTTGTACACGAGCGATCATGAATGTTCACGAGGGGATTCAGCAGGAGAATTTGGCAGCAGTGCAGTGGAACACAGTTATTCTACAGAGGCAGATCAATGAGAAAACTGAAACGAGAATGAAATGACTAAGGGAAAGTTGGGTACCAGTACAAACCCTAGAAAGTTGTACCCCATATGTGCTACCCCACTATAGCCTACGATACATATGTCATATAAATCTGACACACCCCCATAGGCAAAGTGGGGGAGAACAAGGGGTCACAAGACCAGTCAAGCAAAGCAAAGCAAAGCAAGCTCAGGGTGGATCACAAAGTCACCACACATTCCGAGCACAAGGGCCACAAGGCCAGTTCACATGCAGGATTACATATATATAAGGCTAGACAAGCAAGAGCAGGAGTATATATATATGTAACAGTACAAACAAGGTCAAGGGGTGAGCAAGTGAGGCAAGGTAGGCACAAGACCCAGCTGAGTACAAAAGCGCTGATGATCACAAGGCGCAAGTGCCTTGGTGAAGATATCAGCAGTGTTGGCCTCAGAGGCCACGTACGCAAGCCGCACCTGACCACGCTGCTGTAGCTCACGAGCAAGGAAGTAGCGGAGAGCAATGTGCTTTGTTCTGTGCTCCACTCTCTGCTCTCGACACAAGGCCAGCATGGCCTTGTTGTCTACGTACAGCACTGGAGGAGAACGAGGCGGCTCTCCGAGGTCAGTCAGCAGGTAGGTGAGCCAGTGAAGCTCCTATGCAGCCATGGCTCCTGCGTAGATCTCAGCCTCACAACTGGAGTCGAGAAGAGAAGACGAGCAGGTAGCCCGCCACGAAACAGAGCCGGAACCAAGGCTGAAGGTGTAACCCTGTGACGACTATTGGAATCACTAAACGTGAATGTATGAAATAGCAGTGAAATCAGTACAAGTACCTAACCCTAGAATTGTGTACCCCCTATAGGCTAACCCATAGTAGCCTAAACTAACACAACATATATAATGTTTGACACACCCCCATAGGCAAAGTGGCGGAGAACTAGGGGTCACAAGACCAGTCAAGGCAAAGCAAGGCAAAACAAGCTCAGGGTGGATCTCAAGGATACCACACAAATTCCGAGCACAAGCAAGTGGTCACAAGACCAGTTCACATGCAGGTTTATAATAGAGCAAAAGGTACAATGATCACAACCTAACAAGAGTAAACATGCAGGTATATATATAGAGATCACAGTACAAACAGACTCAAGAAGTAAGCAAGTGAGGTCCAGTAGGCACAAGGCCTAGAAGAGTGCAAAAGCGCTGATGGTCACAAGGCTGAAGCGCCTTGGTGAACACATCAGCAGTGTTGGCCTCAGAGGCCACGTAACGCAGGCGAAGCTGACCACGCTGCTGTAGCTCTCGAGCAAGGAAGTAACGCAGAGCAATGTGCTTCGTTCTGTGCTCCAGTCTGTGCTCCTCACACAAGGCAATGGCTGCCTTGTTGTCGACGTACAGCACTGGAGGAGAACGAGGCTGCTCTCCAAGGTCGGTCAGCAAGTAGGTGAGCCAGCGTAGCTCTTGGGCCGCCATGGCTGTGGCGTAGATCTCAGCCTCGCAACTGGAGCTGAGAACAGAAGAAGAGCGAGTAGAACGCCAAGAAACAGAACCAGAGCCAAGACTGAAGGAGAAACCCTGAGACGACCGCTGAGTAGCCTGGTCGTCAGCCCAAGAAGCGTCTGAGTGCCCAGTGAGAACAGGCCGGACTCGCCCTCCAAGCACTAGCCCCATGCCCGACGTACTGCACAAGTAGCGCAACACCCTCTTAGCTGCATCCATGTGCTCCTTCCGGTGACGGCCGGGAGCGACATAGCGTACAAGAATGCTGAGAGGGTATGCAAGGTCTGGTCGAGTGCAGGTCATCAGGTACATGAGGCAACCTACAAGCTCTGGTTACGGGCCACTCGGCTCTACGGACTCATCCGAAGGCAGAGCTAAGAGCGAGTGACCGGTAGGCAGAGGAGTGGGCTGAGGCGAGGAGTACGTGAAGCGGAAGCGCTGAAGGACCTTCTGCACCATGTGTGACTGAGTCAAGGTGATGGTGCGGCGTGCTCTGTCCTGGGTGATCCGCAAGCCAAGATAGCTTGTCAGTTCACCCAGGTCTGTGCACGTGTGTCTCTTCTACCGCTCCGACTTCACGTGGGCGAGTGCCACAGTGTCAGCAGTAGCAAAGACCAAGTCGTCGACGTACACAAGGACGTAGAACGGCGGCAGTGAGGTGTCGGTGCGTAGAAACAGCGACGGGTCAGCAGTAGAAGGCGCGAACCCAAGAGCCGCAAGCGTAGTCCTCAGTGTGTCGTGCCACTCACGAGGCGCCTGGCGGAGATCGTAGACGGGCCGTCGGAGGCTCCACTGGGTACCAGGAGGGAACGACCCAGTGAAGCCAGGTGGACGGCGCAGCCAGATCTCCTCGTGCAGGCTGCCCTGCAGGAAAGCAGTGCTGAAGTCAAGCGAGTGGAGCTCGTAGTCACGCTGAGCGGCGACGTGCAGCAGAACCCGAAGAGTGGTCATCTTTGGGGTCGGGGAGAAGGTCTGGAAGAAGTCAACTCCCTCTCGCTGACTGAAGCCTCGTGCAACGTAACGCGCCTTGAAGACAGGCGGAGAGCCCGGCGGCCGCTTCACCCTGAAAATCCACATGCCACTGACGATGTTCGCCCCAGGTGGGGGAACCTCGTCGACGTAGGTGCCTGTGGACTTCCAGGAAGCCATCTCTGTGTCCATGGCTGACTGCCACTGAGAGGAGTAGGGACCGGCCATCGCCTCTGCGTAAGAGCGTGGGGTCGGGATGTTTGGTGCATCCGAGTCTCCCTCAGGGGCAACAAGCATGGCCACGAGATGGGGCAAAGCGGCAGCAAATCACTCAAACTCCTCCTGCCTGTCCTCAAGGACGTCAGTGCCAAGAGCACACTCACCCCTGACGGACGGAGGACAGACAGACTCAGACTCAGCAACTAGGCTAGCAGCGTAGTCTAGACGACAGCGAGCAGCAAAGTCGACAAGCTCAGCAACTAAGGCAGACGCAGCAGCAGACTCAAAGGAAGGGTCAGTGACAACCGTAGCCAGGAGACGCGTGACAGTAGGACTGGTAGCACGAAGAGAGTCTGACCCTAGGTCAGCAAGAGCAGGAAGAGAGGAAGCAGGAGGAGACAGTAGTGGGACACGCTGTGGAGCAGTGGACGAACGAAGCGCCATCCGGTGAGTGCCTGGGACAGCAGGAAGACGCTGACGCTGGACTCGACTACTAGAGAGAACAGTGCGGACAGGCGACTCAGGACGAGACTCAGGCAACATAGGATGAGACGCAGGCTCACGCCGCTCAGTAAGACCTCCAGTCGGACCAGTGTAAGGAGCAGGACCAGGGAGAGAGGAGGCAGACGGTAACGCCGACTGCAGCTGGACAGGTGGAGGACACGCTAAGGAGGGAGGAGGAAAACGGAGGAGGAAGCTGACCAAGAACCTGCTGAAGGAGCGGAACAAAGTACGGCCGAGACCGAGCAGCGACACCAGTGCCAGCAGGGACACCCGCACCAGGGTCCGCAGCACCAGCAGCAGCTCCAGCGCCCACGTCCTCAGCACCAGCGGCAGCTCCAACGTACGGGTCCTCAGCACCAGTAGCAGCTCCGACGCCCGGGTCCGCAGCACCAGCGGCAGCTCCAACGCCTGGGTCCTCAGCACCAGCAGCAGCTCCAACGCCCGGGTCCTCAGCACCAGCAGCGACTCCAACGCCCGGGTCCTCAGCACCAGCAGTAGCTCCAACGCCCGGGTCCTCAGCACCAGCAGCAGCTCCAACGCCCGGGTCCTCAGCACCAGCAGCAGCTCCAACAGCAGCGGGGTCCGTAACACGAGGCACGCCACTCCGAAGAGTGCAGCGCCGCTCGTACCACTCACGGATCCGCTCGCGGGAGGGGAGCTCCCGAACGGGAGAAGAAGCACTAGCACCAGTCCCGGTAGTACGTCCGGCTTGAGCGGTACCTCTCCGGAGGCTGCAGTACTCTAAGTACCACGCACGCAGCTGCTCCGAGGAGAGGGCTCCTCCAAGTGAAGGACTCCCAGGCCTAGTACCTCCAGACTCAGAACCCTCTGGACTCCGCAGCTAAGCACCACTAGGCTCCACACCCCCAAGCTCAGCACCCCTAAGCTCTACACCCCCAGGCTCCACACCCCCAGGCTCCACACCCCCAGGCTCCACACCCCCAGGCTCCACACCCCTAGGCTCAGCACCCCCAGGCTCAGCACCCCCAGCAGGATGAGAGTCGACAGCTACCTCAACAGGCTCAACCGGGTCTACCTGAGACACACCTGAGGGAGCGGCACCCTGAGGGGGGAGGGGGTCTGCAACAGCAGCACCTGGTGCGAGGAAGAGAGGCGGCGGGGGGGGAGCAGGGCAGTGCGGTAGGGAAGAGGCGGTAGTAGGGGACGGACTCGTCAAAAGTGACGTCCTGGGAGGGCAAGACTCGGCGCGAGGTGGCGTGGTAAAACTGCCAACCAGACGCGTCCGGGACAAAGCCGAGGAAGACGCAGGGAACAGCACGGGAGGAGAGCTTGTCCGCGGACGAATCGCGGACAAAAGCTCGAGACCCCCAGACCCGGAAACGTGACGCATCGCCAACCTCCCCCGTCCACAGCAGCGTGGGTGAGGTCTCCGGCAAGGAGACACGTGGCAAGAGGTTGAGCTGATGCGCAGCGTACCGGACCGCAAACGGCCACAGAAAGTGGGGGGCAGCCGCATGGATCAAGGAGGTACGGGCGACCCCCATTACCAGGCCAATGCGGCGCTCCGCAACCCCATTCTGCTGTGGAGAAGCCGGAAGCGTGAACGACTGCTCAATGCCGTGCTTAGCACAGTAGGCTGCCAAGAGGTCGGAGGAGAACTCACCACCTGTGTCAGAGTGCAAGCGCAGGACAGGAAAGTCCGAGTGAAAACGCTCGCTGAGCTGGAGACGGGCTCTGCGGATCGAAGGGATCAAGACATCAGGGACCTCACCCTTGGTGCGCAAGGGGAAGACTGAGGTGTAGCGCAAGTAGTCGTCAACAACTATCAGGAAGTACCTCTCCTGACCCTGACCACGGACGCAGGCTGGGCCCCACACATCCATGTCGAGTGTCTGCAAGGGAGCAGTCGTCGGGGGAAACGAGGAGGAGTGAGGAGCGGCGCGCTGCCGTCCCTCGACACAGGGGAGACAGGTAGGAGCAGGCAAGGGTGGGAGGGCAGGAAGGACCCTGGGAAGGCCAGAGACAAGGTACTGGGAGTGCATGGCACGAAGCCGCTGCACAGACGGGTGGCCAAGGCGGTGGTGCCAGAGGACAGTCTCGTGTGCCAAAGAGCGACACGAGCAGGGGGGGGGACAGCTGACCTGACGCGGACGCGGACGCAGTCGCAGCAACTTGAGGGGACTCAGTAGTTAGTGTGTACAGGTCCGACCCCGGCTGCCGAGTGAAGGTAGCCAAGTGACGGCCCTTACGAGCACACGTGCAGTGTGTCATGCGCTCGTAGGCAGGGGTGAACTGGTGAACACCCCCGTCCTGGAGTGCACATCCTGCCACCAGGTTCGTAGAGAACGAGGGGAGGTGGAGACCTGACAGTGTGCTCGACGGGACCGCAGGGCAGGGAAGGACAGTGGAAGAGGTCGCAATGAGCGGACCCCCAGAGGGGTCAGCAAGGGAGATAGCAACTGGCCGAGCAAGCGGCTCAAGGGCAGTGCGGTCACGAAAGAAGCAGCGAGAAGCACCTGAGTCCAGTGTGAAAGTGTGCAGTGCAGCAGTCGACGCAGTACCAAGGGGGGGAGACACACGAGCACCTAGAGCAGCAGCCTCACCAGCACCTGGGGTAGCCGACACGCGAGAACCTGGAGCGGCAGACGCACTGGCCCTAATGCCCGGGTCGGGCGGCACACACAAGTACTCAGCACCCTCTCCACTAGTAGACATCACATACATGGCAGATAGAATAGCATCAAAGTCTAGAGCATAGATATCAATCCCCTTCTTCAGGAGATCAAGCCAGCGGGGCAGCTCAGTGGCCTGAGGGAACTGAACACGCCAAGCGTTGTCCTGACGAGAGAAGCAGCGCTGTGTGGCGTGCAGTCGTCCACACTGCTGACCAGTGCGGTCACCAGTGCGAATGACGTACGTGCAGCTAAGACCACCCCCACCCCCGTGCTGAGAGTACCACTCACGGACCTCCTGGGGCGAGGGAGTGTGCTGCTGGCCCTGGTCACCGCCAGTGCCTCCACGGCCACCACCACCGCTGCCACCTCCTTGACCACCCCAACCCCTGCCGCCGCCTCGTCCACCGCCAACCCAACCGCCGCCTCCACTCCTGCCACCTCCCCCGCCGCTGTCGCCACCACCCCCACCGCTACCACTCGCCCCTCCAGTCGAGCCACCACCCCCACTGCCTCCACCGCCCCCACCGCCTCCTCCCTCGCCGTCACCGCCACCACCCTTGCCCCCTTTGCCCTTGCCGCTGCGACGTCCGCTCGAGGCAGACGCAGCGCCGACCTTCTCAGTACCAAGAAGGTCGACAGCAGCAGCAGAGGCGACAGAGGGAAGAAGGGGGGAAGGAGAGCACCCCTCAAAGAACGGGGTACGGGGGTCGCCACGAGAGGCACCTACAGCGACTTTGCTAGTCTCAGCTGCAAGTAGCTCCTTCTCGAGGAGGGCAATGGTGAGCTCAGTGGGGCAACGAGCTAGGAAGTGGTCCCTGACAGCACGCAGTGTGTCAGGGAGGCGGGTGACTAGGTGGTAGAGAGTGAGCCAGAGTAGAGGGGGGTGCGTGGCAAGGAACTCAGCAGGCATGGTGGCACGGAAGCGGGCCTCACTAGTACGGAGGTGCATGATGAGGTTAGCGACTGTGTGAAAGGAGGCCAGGTCGGGAAACAGGTAGGGGAGGGAGAGACGGCCTAGTGCGGCAGAGGCAGGTGAGGAGTAGCGAGCAACTACAGCTGTCTATAGTGCCTGTGCAGTCTTGTGCTGACCAAAGTGCTCACGTTCGTTTATCAGCAGGGAGCTGCGAATGGCGAAGCGAGCGTGGGCATCACGAGTCTGCCACTGTGAGCGAGCAGTGCTGTCAGCAGTAGCAGCAGGGGCAGTGACATGGCCTAGGGCGTGATCGTACAGTGAGATGTCATCCTTGGCTGTGAGTTGTAGGTAGAGGTGCAGGTCATCGAGCCAGGTGTCAAACTTCACAGGGCGGCCCTCAGCATCGAACACGAGAACCTGTGGGCTAGCCATAGGAACAGTAGAAATAGCAGCAGTAGCAGTAGGAGAAGCAGGTAGGACGAACCAGGTAGGGCAGGGCGGCGCGGCTCGGTTCAGGTCGGGTCGCGGCTCGGCTGGGTGGCGCGGCTCGGTTCAGGGCGCGCGGCTCGGCTCGGGGCGCGCGGCTCGGCTCGGGGCGCGCGGCTCAGGTCGCGCGGCTCGGGTCACGGCGGGGACGGGCCGCCCGGGGCCTCTAGGTGGTGGGCATGGGTCGGCGAGGTCGGCACGGGGCCCGTTGGGGCCCTAGAGGGGCGAGCGCGGGGCCGATCGGGGCCTGAGCAGGGCTAGCGCGGGGCCAAACGGGGCCTTGACGCGGCTAGCAAGGGGCCGACGGGGCCTGAACGGGGCTAGCGCGGGGCCGACGGGGCCTGAAACGGGGCCGACGGGGCCTGAAACGGGGCTGGCGCGGGCCCGATCGGGGCCTGAATGGGGCTAGCGCGGGGCTGACGGGGCCTGAGAGGGGCTAGCGCGGGGCCGACGGGGCCTGAAACGGGGCTAGCGCGGGCCGACGGGGCCTGAGAGGGGCTAGCGCGGGGCCGACGGGGCCTGAAACGGGGCCGACGGGGCCTGAAACGGGGCTAGCGCGGGCCGACGAGGCCTGAGAGGGGCTAGAGCGGGGCCGACGGGGCCTGAAACGGGGCAGACGAGGCCTGAAACAGGGCTAGCGCGGGGCCGACGGGGCATGAAACGGGGCCGACGGGGCCTGAACGGGGCTAGCGCGGGGCCTGAACGGGGCCTTAAAGGGGCCGACGAGGCCTGAACGGGGCCGCTAGGGAGAGCGGGCTTGGGGCCGACGGGGCCTGAACGGGGCTAGCGCGGGGCCGTCAAGAGGGGCCTCTAGGAGCGTGACACGCCGAGGCGCCCTAGGGCACAGGTAGGTAGGTAGGTAGGTAGTTACGTAGTGGTGGGCCCTTAGAAAATTTCGGTCCTAGGAAGGACCTGCTCTATACCATGCTGGAATCACTGAACAGGAATTTGTGAACTAGCAGTGAAATGAGTACAAGTACCTAACCCTAGAATTGTGTACCCCCTATAGGCTAACCCACTGTAGCCTAAACTAACACAACATATATAATGTTTGACAACGATCGCTGCGTAGCCTGGTCGTCAGCCCAAGAAGCGTCTACGTGCCCAGTGAGGACCATTGGACTCTGCCCTCCAAGCACAAGCCCCATGCCCGACGTACTGAACAAGTAGCACAACACCCTCTTCGCTGCATCCATGTGCTCCGGTCTGTGTCTCCCAGGAGCAACATAGCGTGCGAGAATGCAAAGAGGGTATGCAAGGTCAGGTCGTGTGCAGGTCATCAGGTACATGAGGCAGCCAACAAGCTCTGGGTACGAGCCACTCGACTCTACGGACTCATCCGAAGGCAGAGCTGAGAGCGAGTGGCGAGTAGGCAGAGGAGTGGCTTGAGGCGAGGAGTACGTGAAGCCGAAGCGCTGAAGGACCTGCTGCACCATGTGTGACTGAGTCAGGGTAATGGTGCGGCGTGCTCTGTCCCGGGTGATCTGCAAGCCAAGGTAGCTGCGCAGTTCACCCAGGTCTGTGCACGTGTGTCTCTTCTGCAGCTCGGACTTCACGTGGGCGAGTCCAGCAGTGTCAGCTGTGGCAAAGACCAAGTCGTCGACGTACACGAGGATGTAGAACAGCGGCAAAGAAGTGTCGGTGCGCAGAAACAGCAACGGGTCGGCAGTAGAGGGAGCAAACCCAAGAGCCGCAAGTGTAGTCCTCAGTGTGTCGTGCCACTCACGCGGTGCCTGGCGGAGACCGTAGACTGGCTGCCGGAGGCTCCACTGGGTGCCAGGAGGAAAAGACCCAGTGAAGCCAGGTGGGCGGCGCAGCCAGATCTCCTCGTGCATGCTGCCCTGCAAGAAAGCAGTGCTGAAGTCAAGAGAGTGCAGCTCGTAGTCACAGTGAGCAGCTATGTGCAGCAGAACCCGAAGAGTGGTCATCTTCGGGGTGGGAGAGAAGGTCTGAAAGTAGTCAACTCGCTGCCGCTGACTAAAGCCACGAGCCACGTAACGCGCCTTGAAGACAGGCGGAGAACCCGGCGGCCGCTTCACCCTGAAAATCCACATGCCACTGACAATGTTCGCCTCAGGAGGGGGAACGTTGTCAACGTAGGTGCCTGTGGACTTCCATGAAGCCATCTCTGCTTCCATAGCTGCCTGCCACTGAGAGGAGTAGGGACCCTCTATCGCCTCCGCGTAAGAGCGCGGAGTCAGGATGTCAAGTGCATCCGGGTCTCCCTCAGGGGTAAGCAGTACGGACATGAGATGAGGTGAAGCAGCAGCCAAACACTAGAACTCCTCCTGCCTGTCCTCAAGGACGTCCGTGCCAAGGGCACACTCACCCCCGACGGACGGAGGACAGACAGACTCAGACTCAGCAACAAGACTAGCAGCGTAGTCTAGACGACAGCGAGCAGCAAAGTCGACAAGCTCAGCAACTAGGGAAGACGCAGAAGTGGACTCAAAGGAAGGGTAAGTGACAACAGTAGCAAGGAGACGCATGACAGTAGGACTGGCAGCACGAAGAGAGTCCGACTCACCAGTCTGTAAGTGCAGGAAGAGAGGACTCAGGAGGAGAAGGCAAAGGGGCACGCAGAGGAGCAGTGGACAGACGCAGAGACATTCGGTGCGTGACATCTGGAGGACGCTAACGCGAACCACGACCACTAGCGCGAGCAGCACGGACAGGCGACGCAGGGCGAGATGCAGGCTTACGACGCTCAGCAAGACCTCCAGTAGGACCAGTGTAGGGAGAAGGAGCAGGCAGTGGGGAGGCAGGCTGTAGTCGTAACTGCGACGGGACGGACTGTGGACACGCTAAGGGAGAAGGAAGACCAGTAGAAGGCGGGAGATCAAGAACCTACTCAAGGAGCGGAACGAAGTACGGCCTAGGCCGTGCAGCGACTCCAGACACAACAGGGACAGCACCAGTACCCCCAGTGGTAGCACCAGCGCCAGCAGCTCCTCCAGCTCCAGTACCCCCAGCAGCTCCAGTTGCTCTAGGACCTCCAGCAACACCAGTAGCACCCCCAGCAGGACCGCCTCCAGTACCGCCAGCAGCACCCTCAGCGCCAACACCCTCAGCAGCTCCAGCTCTAGTCAGACCACGAGAATATGTAGTGGCTCCAGCTCCAGTAGTACCCGCAGGCCCAGCAGCTCCAGTACTCCCAGTACGAGCACCTCCGGGACCCGTGGCACCAGCACCCTCAGCAGCCGAAGAACCTCCAGCTCCAGTAGCATGCCTCCAGCGGCGGGCAAACCACTCACGCAGCTCCTGTGGTGAGAGTGGCTCCCATCAAGACGCAGCACCCGGAGAACCGCCAGGCCCAGCACCGCCAGACGCCACACGAGCAGGCCCAGCTCCCTCAGGCTCCGCACCCCCAGGCTCAGCACCTCCAGGCTCCGCACCCCCAGGCTCAGCCCCTCCAGTCGTAGCACCCCCAGGCTCAGCACCCCCAGGCGCAGCACCCCCAGTCATAGCACCCCCAGGCTCAGCACCCCCAAACTCAACACCCCCAGGCTCAGCACCCCCCAATCGTAGCACCCTTTGACTCAACACCCCCAGGCTTAGCACCCCCAGGCTCAGCACCTCCAGCAGCACCAGAGTCACCAGCGACCTCGACATGCTCGACTGCGTCTACCTGGGACACACCTGAAGGGGCAGGTGCCTGAGGGGGAAGGGGGTCTACCGGGGGGGGACCTGGCACAAGGAAGAGCGGTGGCGGGGGGAGGGACGGAGTGCGGTAGGGGAAGAGATGGTAGTAGGGGACCGACTCGTCAAAGGTGACGTCCTGGGAGGACAAAATACGGCGAGAGGTGCCGTGGTAGAACTGCCACCCTGGCGCGTCAGGGGAGAAGCCAAGGAAGATGCAGGGAGCAGCACGAGGGGACAGCTTGTCCGCAGACTAGTCGCGGACAAACGCCCGAGATCCCCAGACCCGTAACGCCGACGCATCGCCAACCTTCCGCGTCCACAGCAAAGCTGGGGAGGTCTCCGGCATGGAGGCCCTGGGCTGAAGGTTGATGTGATGCGCCGCGTACCGAACCGCAAACGGCCACAGAAATTGGGGGGCAGCCGCATGCATCATGGACGTACGGGCGACGTCCATGACCATGCCAATGCGGCGCTCAGCAATCCCATTTTGCTGTGGAGAGTCCGGAAGCGTGAATGTCTGGCGGATGCCTTGTGCACGACAGTAGGCTCGCAGAAGGCCAGAGGAGAACTCTCCGCCTCTGTCAGAGTGCAGACGCAGAATAGGAAAGTCCGAGCCGAAACTCTTCCTGAGCTGGAGACAAGCTGCGCGGATCCAGTCGATCAACACCTCAATGACATCACCTTTGCTGCGCAAGGGGAAGACTATGGTGTAACGCGAGTAGTCGTCAACCACCAGCAGGAAGTAGCACTCGTGACCCTGTCCACGGACGCGGGCTGGGCCCCACACGTCCATGTGAAGCGTCTGCAACGGGGAGGAGTGAGGTAACTGGGAGGAGTGAGGGGCAGCACGCTGCCGCCCCTCGACACAGGGGACGCAGGTAGGGGCAGGCCCCGGAGGAAGGGGAGGGAGGGACCGGGGAAGACCAGAGACAAGGACACGGGAGGCCATGCCTCGGAGACGAGGCAGGGAGGGGTGACCAAGGCGGTGGTGCCAAAGGAGAGTCTCGTGAGACAGGAGGCGACACGGGCAGGGGGCAGACTCAGGACCAGACCTGGACGCTGCAGCAAACACCTGACCCGATGCAGCTACTTGACAACACGCAGTGACTGGAGGAGACTCAGTGGTTAGTGTGTACAGGCTTGACCCCGGTCGACGTGTAAACGAAGTGTCGGCCTGTCCGAGCGTCCGTGCAGTAGGTCACCCGCTTGCTCGCATGAGTGAACTAGTGAACTCCCGCATCCTGTAGGTCAGCACCACTCACCAAGTTTGTAGAGAACGAGGGGAGGTAAAGACCAGACAGGGT